AAAACCTCATTCTCTCGAGATTTTTTTTTTTTTTTTTTTTTTTGCCGTCTATTACTATTTCTCTTTTCTTTTTTTTTTGGCCCTTTTTTTTTTTTTTTTTTTTTTTCCCCCCCCCCCCCCCCCCCCCCCCCCAACAAGGAATGGGATGTAATAAATGTACGCACCCGACATGCCCACATTCCATGATACGGAATACAGTGTGTCCGTGCCCTCAAGCAGATGTGACAGGGTGCAAGGGTCAACTGGTTCTTAATGGTACGTTGAGTACTAAATGGAACCTTTGTTGTAATTCTTGCAACCTTGTCTCGGCATTTACTAATAAGCTTAAAGGTTTGTAATATTGCCATACATAATCGCGGTCAAAAGTATATATAGTCATTAATTGGAAATTTGTTCTTAATCCTTGCAGCTGTTTCGGTTACAAAGGATGAGTATTGTGATGACTGCGGTTCTTCCATACTAAAAATAGAGTTTAGTAAAAATCAAACGAGAGAACCATTGGAAGGGTGTATTCTTTGTGACAATGAAATTTCCAGCCTCTTAAAAACCAGGTATAATTCGTCGTTCTAAATATTCAGACCTGTTAATAGAGCGTTATTAACACCATGCTACTTGATTATCGTCAATAGAATTGCTCATCAGTCGACGTCTTACAGAGGGAGAGGAAGAGGACGAAGAGGGAGAGGAAGGGGGAGAGGAAGAGGACGAAGAAGAGCGTCGAGAGGAAGAGGACGCATGTGATAAATGTACAATATTGCACAATATCCCCAAATAATTTATTTAACGCATGCAAATAGTTTGGACGTTGAGAGCGGAATTTATATTGTATCCGTATTTAGTGGTTATTTTTTTAAGTGAAACACAAAAGAATTTTTGATCCGCAACCGATTAAACCTTAAAATATTGTCTTTTTTTCCTGTCCTTCTCCCCACTTCAACAACATGCGATTTATACAACCAATCCTGCGTATTAAAGGTATCAAAGATCTGCTGACACGATGGTTTAAACCCATAGAACCAGTGAAGTTGATAGCTCCTCCACCACCTAGCACTCTACCAATCCTGAAAGAAGAGGAAAAGAAAAAACCTGAATTTAAAGCACACCATATGCTTTACCTTCCACAATTTAAAAATCCTTTGCTACTTGAAATAGCTCTCACGCATCCTCGACCGGAAAATCCAGTCTTGCTTATATATCACGATGACCCAGACTTATTACCATTCCTTCAAAAAGGACTCAGTTTCAGGAAATTGGCATTTCTGGGTGATGGTCTTCTCAATGCAGAAGTTGCACGAGCACTTCTTGTACGTTACCCTCATCTCAGTGCTGGTGATGTCACTATCATACGACAAAGGCTCGTATCTAGAGACGCCTTGGGTGTTTTTGCCGAAATCTATGGAATACCTCGATTAATGGTCGCTCCTCAAATAAAGGATCTTTCGAATAATATATATGCTGAAGCAATGGAATCTATTATCGCAGCGCTGGACATTGATTCGGGGCGAAAAGAAGTTAGGAAAATGGTCGAAGAAATGATTGATTATTCAGAATATATCGAGTTTGCGAGGGCTATTATACAGACGGTGAAGTGGCTGCCGTTGAAAAAAATTGCAAGTATAAGTGTACTTAAAAATGAGGAGGGAAAGGATGACGAAAAAGGTGACGAGAAAGGTGAGGGTGACGAAAAGGGTGATGAGAAAGGTGACGAGAAAGTTGACGAGAAAGTTGACGAGAAAGTTGACGAAAAGGGTGACGAGAGTGGTAAGAAGAAAAAGAAGAAAAAGAAAAGGAAATAGAAGAGCGAGAATGATCAATGTATTTTGGGAACTATGGCAGTGACAAATTTTGAAGGGGATTCTCTTAATGTTTGATTGAATGTATTTTTCATTTAAAACAAACAATTTCCCGTTTTGTCATTGCAGTTTTTGTCATATTCGCCTTGATTACTGGATTGTATCTTTCATTAACTTGTGCGAATGCAGTACAGTTAGAATGACCCATAGCAATATGCTACTCTAATAAACTGTTACAATATTTGCCACATATGTTAAATGGCTTAACTATAACGTCATTGTGAACGCGTCTAAAAATTTAGGCTCTCGATTTACCATGGTTATGCTTTATAATTGTATTCATAAAGAGACTATTCTTTGCTTTTGCTGCTGCATTCGAGCAATAGATATCTAGCAAACTGGCATCTGACTATCTGTGCTAAAAATGACAGGTGGCTGGAAGGTCGGTCAATGTCAATGATGAAGCCCTTGCTTTTTGGTGGATAATTGTGCTCATGGACTAATTTTTAGTACATGCATTTTTTCAAGCCATACCATGTTAATATGACTAACATTCAAACTGAATAAGATGAAACTGTCAATGTGAGCATTAACACCAACCCATGATGAAGCAAAAAACAAGTTTATTTGCCATTCACAAAATGCATTATAATAATTAGGTCTTCTTTTGTGAGGCAAGGTAGAACAAGAATATTCTGTTCTAGCCCAAATTGGAATTTGGTCCATTCTAGACCATTTCACGTTCAGGATTCTGAGCCCATATTAATATTGGGATTGTGATCATTAATTTATCTGTTCTAGCTAAAAATTAAGCTACATTCTCGTAAAAAAACTCTCGCGAAGCCGTAATGCGCGCTTTTTCGTGTAATTTTTCGTTTGTTTTCTTTGGTAGATCTAGCACGATTTCATGTAAGAAGCAAGAGAATTAGATAAATAAAACAAAGTAAAAGGTTACAAATATTGGGTGACAGTCTCGTTTTAACATAAGCTTTTTGCAAATTCTCAACATGTTTAAACACATCCTTGACCGCAAATCACTAATTGTAAAGTCATGTTCAGTTTTGTCTCTTGAAATATTTGATAACATCAATGAGTATATGATTCGTTGCTAGCTAATCACACAAGAGTTAGCTGACAAAATTAAGTGATAGCAAATCACCCCCACTGGACACGTCGACATTTTTTTTTCGATCCTTGAAATAAGTGATACGATACATATAGTAGACAGAAAATCTTTTAAAGATGGTTTGCTTAAAAAAGACGTGGTGTGGCTCCAGGTGCCATCCTTCCCAGTCAAGATGTACGAACAGAGACTAGTGTTAAATAGAACGTCTGTTTTAATAAATCTTTATATTATTACCAAGTGATCTAAACAATTTCTATATGGCACATATGTGATGGGCTGGTCCAAGTTCCAATTTGGGCTAGAACGTCTCGACTTGAAATCTTTACACAAATTATTACAAATTCGGACTTGAATTGTAACACTGTGTTATACTTTAATTAACGTGATACGATTACAAACTCCGGACATCCGGAGTTTTTGTCTTTCTCATTTTCATCATGTCGCTGAAAGAACCTTCTAGTCCAGGCATTTACAACATTCCGCTAATCACCGAAAGTTTGCTAGATGAGATCTTAAAAGTATAGTATAATCAATTATTTGTCAAATATAATTATCTTTAGACTATTAGGAATATATTGTGCCGCATAACTTGCTAGTCTTGAACGACAATGCCATACTATACATATTTATATCGTTCTATACAGTTACTACGAAATAGCAGAAAAATCGCTCTTACTATCAAGAATTATTCACAATCTATTCTTGAAAACCCTGAAGTATATTTTGTAACTGGGACATCGCAATTTGGGCTAACTGGAGGTGGAGTATTAAATAACAAAGGCTTAGCTTGGGGTGCCCGTAAGACGGCATACTCGACTGCAGGAACAGCGGGAGTTATCGTATATGAAATCAAAGGACAAAATAAATCTTTAGCCGTTATGTGGAGTATCCCATTTGCGTATGCCGGTTATAGGAATTGGTGGAATGTTAAAGTTTATGAAGGTTTAAGGAAACCTAATAAAGGTAATATAATCAAATTCTGATTTTGTTTATCCGAAGTTTTTATTATCGCATCATTAATTTCTCTTTACGCTATTGGGCTAGAAATGTTCCATGATATGTACAATCATCATAGTCCCAATCGAGGGAACAGTAACCCTTCCGCCGGGGAGCTAAGCGGTGGTTGGAGATACGAGGGAACGATGGGAGGCGCTGGACAAGCTGTTCTCATTGTAGATTTCAAAGATGGCAATGATGGAGACAATGCTCTTCCGAATAGCAAAAACCAGTAATTCGCATTATATTATCTTCTTGCGCGCTGCAAAAGCCGTTGATAAGATGATCGCCTATAGCCAAACAGCCTACAAATAAAATTCATATTAATCATTCCTCCTTGATGAATACGACCATTGATTTGCCTCAATCATAAGAGTCAAGAATTGTGTAATAGTAACACATATTTACGAGTACATGCACAATACCTGGTTTTTGTATATTTAGCACTCAATGTTCTTCTCGTATAAAATAAGGCTCTGTTATCCGAATAATTATGTAACTATTTTTGTATCTAATAATGTAATTACTAATTAAATGATGTTGTGGTAAGACAGATTTGTAGCTTTCCCGTGTATTCAAAATAGATAATCAGAAAAATAAGAAAAATTTGTGAAGCCAAAGTTACTGCTTTAAATCAAGTATTAAGTATTACTGTTCCAAATTAATTTTTATAGAAATTTCTTTCTTGGTCTTAATGTGCTTTGATAATTGTTACAATGAATAGCCCTTTGTAGGCACTAGAATCAGCTCAAATAAACTATTTATGAGTTTCTCATTACAATAGCAACACTGCTAGTATACAATTCATCTACATCATCCTCTAGTACTAGCTTGTCTACAAAATTTTCTATCATTTGAACCTTCTTTTTAAGCTTTTATGCTGGAAATAATAATTATTCAGCAGCCTTCTCCATTGATCTAAATACTCAAGGAATATATTGTTGACCCCCGAATTTTACATATCCAGTCCAGTCACTTTTCAATCACGAATTTATTTGGCCGGAATATACAGTGTTATCATTATATCTATATCAATTAGGGCTTGTGTGTTAGTATTAGGCTCACTAATTATATTGTATTCTCATTAACTCTTAACTGATTTTAATGCAAAATTATCTGAATAATCAATCTTTACGTTGTTTACAATGTTCTATAGAATTTTATTGGACAAACATGTCTTAATGCAGTCAGGAGTTTTGGCAATACAGATAATTGTTTTATGACAGTAAAAAAAAACCAACCAATTAAATATATCTTGATGCATATATAGTGCCAAATGCTAAGAAGCTTCTTATCTATTTCCGCATTTTTATTTCTTGTTTTAATACTTATATCCATTGTATGGCGGTATATCAAGTACAGTGTGTAACGAAAATAATTACCTTCACAAAAAATGGTATAATGCAACAATTACATAAAATAATTAAACATGCCGAGCTCATCACATATGCTATTATTCACATAACATAAAATTCTATCCCCGATTTCCTCAAAAAACAAGTTTACCACGTACACCTTTTTTTTTATGATAGCACTAAATTATTCCATCAATCATAAACTTTTTCAATTCTTGAACATGCTTTCAATGGGACTCAGGTCTGGACTATTGGAAGATTAGCCTATAACCTGGATCCCATTTTCAGCCATAAATCTGAAATTTATATTTTAAAGCGCGTCCATCGAAATGGTTTATAATTTCGAGGCAATTATTTTCGTTACACACCGTATTGTCAGGACCATGTATTATGAATGACGTAATTATGTGTAGCATACGATCAGTGGAGATTCAGCAAAAGCTGCGGAAATTGTGACATACGCAGCGCGTCAGAGTTGTCTTTCAGGTCATTAAGAATGCCAATAACAAAGATATGATCTGTGGTGATAATGTCTGCAACAATCATCTCCATTACCGTTTGATATATATTAATTTGTTTTTTCTAGTAACCCATGTTGAAAATCGGGGTCATAATGATTGCAACAGTAAACAACTTTGTGCACTCTTACCAATTTAATGACATCTGTGCCACCAGAAGTTAAAGGCAGATGGATGTTTGATATGAGCCATAGCAAATTGATCACTTGGTAATAATAAATATTTATTAAAACAGACGTATTTAGCACTAGTCTCTGTTCGTACATCTTGACTGGGAAGGATGGCACCAGGACGTCTTTTTTTAAGCAAGCCATCTTTAAAAGATTTTCTGTCTACTATATGTATCGTATCACTTATTTCGAGGATCGAAAAAAATGTTGACGTGTTCAGTGGTGGTGATTTGTTATCACTTAATTTTGTCAGCTAACTCTTGTGTGATTAGCTAGCAACGAATCATACACTCATTGATGCTATCAAATATTTCAAGAGACAAAACTGAACATGATTTCACGATTAGTGATTTGCGGTCAAGGATGTGTTTAAACATTGCAAAAAGCTTATGTTAAAGCGAGACTGTCACCCAGTATTTATAAACTTTGTTTTATTTCTCTTGCTAGTTCTATCAGAGAGAAAACTGTCGAGTCAAATGTCACAAGAGAGCTGAATTACACGTGACTCGTAGAGATTTCCAACGGAGCGTAGCGCCTCTTACTAAATAAAAGCTTAACCAAACCGACAGTTAGTGACCTGTTGTATAGGCTTTATCGCTGACGGCACTTCCGTTTGCCGGATCACGAAACTAATCTTAGATAATTAACTGTTCTCGAGATAATGGAACGACTATCTGTCGATAGATTAGTTCGACAATCTGTCCGTTTTGGGGGTACACCTAGTATAAAGCGTTATTCTCACAATTAATTATCGTAGTTCGCTACTCAGATAGTCGCAGGACAAGAAGCGATTATCCTTCTCCGATACAAAGTGAACCTGGATATAACGGTAACGAAACCTGGATAAAACGAATTTCGACTATAACGAAGTTTTTCGATGTCCCAAAACCTTGTCTAATAGAATTTCCTGGATATAACAAAGTTAATTAAGAAAATCTGGTTACTTGCTAAAACGAAGTAACTTCGTTATAAATTTCGATGATTTTTCTCATTTGGGTAAATCGTGATTCGAATTCTGTAATTTGATTGGTTGATATACTTTGAGATCAATTTGATTGCTCCGCTTAAACAATGAAATTTTCACGACAAACTACTCTTGACATAGTATAACTGCACTTGACATTCGATGCATACAATAAAGTTTCCGTTTGAACAAGCATCTCAACAAAATTAATGTTGCTTCTAGTCTACATTCAAAATTGCAGTAATACATAATAGCAAACTGTTACCCTTTTATAACGAAATTATATAGAACTTCCTTATAAAGAGAAAACCTGGATATAACGAAAACCTGTTATAACGAAGAAACGGCGGAACAGACTACTTTGTTAGATTCAGGTTCACTGTGTATAGGGTTTAGTGATTCTATCTATATCGAATATTCCAGAGAAATACGTAAATAGTTATGATCAGAGTAAATGCGATACTCGTTTAATAAATAAAGGAATCGGAATATTATAATTATCTTCACGCTAATAAGACTTCGAAAACACGCCAAAATTAGCTAACTCCTACGCTGCTTTTATATCTTTCGAGCTATTAATTGACCTAAATTTAGCAACATATTTTCTAAGCTAAATTATTAGCTTGTTGAATTTTCCACTAAGTAACCGCCTTCGTGCTAAGTGTTGTTGAAGTTTCAACAGTGTTACGCGTGGAAAATTCCGCACGGTCGTACATTGTGTTGTTGACCTCGTGGAGCTGCGCAGAAATCTAGCCACTAAAATTCGTCGTTACGACAAAACAAACGAAAAGCAACACTCAAAAGCGGAATGTTCATTTTTACAATCGTTGATAGCTAGGACAAGTAAATTAATGCGACAGGCCCAAATCAGAATCCAATTTGGGCTAGAACGTCTCGACTTACACAAATTATTACAAATTCGGACTTGAATTGTAACACTGTGTTATACTTTAATTAACGTGATACGATTACAAACTTCGGACATCCGGAGTTTTTGAATTCTTTCTCGTTTTTCATCATGTCGCCGCAAGAACCTAGTGGTCCAGGCGTTTACGACATTCCGCTAATCACCGACAGATTGCTAGATGAGATCTTAAAAGTATAGTATAATCAATTATTTGTCAAATATAATTATCTTTAGACTATTAGGAATAATATTGTGCCGCATAATCTGCTAGTCTTGAACGTTAATGCCATACATATTTGTATCGTTATATATTACTATACAGTTACTACGAAATAGCAGAAAAATCTCTCTTACTATTAAGAATTATTCACAATCCATTCTTGAGAACCCTAAAGTATATTTTCGAGCTGGGACAGCACCATCTGGGATACCTAATGCTAAACTATCAAATTATAAAGGCTTGGCTTGGGGTGCCCGTAAGACGGAATACTCGAATATAGGAACAGCGGGAGTCATTGTATATCAAATCAAAGGACAAAATAAATCCTTAGCCGTTATGTGGAGTATTCCATTTCTGTATATCAGTGGTTATAAGAATTTGTGGAATGTTGAAGTTTATGAAGGTTTAAAGGAAGCGAATAGAGGTAATACAATCAAATCCTGATTTTGTTTATCCGAAGTTTTATAATCGCACCATTAATTTCTCTTTACGCTATTGGGCTAGAATTGTTCCGTGATATGTGCCATCATAGTCCCAATCGAGGGAACAGTAACCCTTTCGCCGGGGAGCTAAGCGGTGGTTGGAGATACGATGGAACGATGGGAGACGCTGGACAAGCTATTCTTGTTGTAAATTTCAAAGATGGCACTGATGGAGACGATGCTCTTCCGAATAGCAAAAATCAGTAATTCGCATTATATTATCTTCTTGCGCGCTGCAAAAATCGCCTATGGCCAAGCAGCTTACAAATAAAATTCATATTAATCATAATCGACTTGTTCCTCCTTGATGAATACGTGTACAACCATTTTTATTACCTCAATCATAAGTCAAGTCTAGCACTGTGTATCACATATTTACAGACGAAATACCTGGTTTTTGTATGTTTAGCACTCAATTGTTCTTGTATAAAATAAAGCTTTGTTATTCGAATAATTATGTAAACTTATTTTTCGTAATTATTGTATCTAATAAAAAATAAGATAAATGTTTAGCCGGCTAAAATTACTGCTTTAGATCGAGTATTAAGGTCGCCCTCACTGTAATTCAGCTGCTATGTTTCATGATTTTCAGGATAGTATATTCTTTAAAATCAATGACGTTTACATACCACATTAGAAATCTCTTACAATTTGCTGTTGTTTCCATAAATAATATGGAACTGTCTCGCATATACGTGGGGTGGTCGAAAAGTCTTGCGCGTGTGGCTGTATTTCAGCGAAAATCAACCTAAATCCAAAATGGAAAATGCGCCTCAATGCGCATCATTTCAAGGGACAAAGAAAAAAAAATATGATCGGAATTCATTTACTCGTTGTCGAGAAATTGATTTTTTTTTCCACCTTACTAAAAC